AGCTTTAAGATATCAGTACCACCAAAGAACTAACAATAGGCCCAAACAAGATTAGCACAGATGCCCATGCTCTCAGAACGTCTAAAACCAACTTTTCACCTCGGAGTCAATGTAAACTTACGGGTAATAAATTTAAAACCGCAAATATTGTGTGCTCGCGAGAAAGTTTAGGGTTAATAACAGTCGCGACAGGTTTGATTTCAGCTCTTCTCATGGTCCTTGGCAGACAATGTCGCTAATAGTCTTTCGAATACCACGACTGGGACTGCGATGTGAAGAAGCCCATTTATAAAAAGTTTTTAAGAGACGCGGTGGTAGTGGGATATCGTGGGTGGTTGCTAAAAGGATTTACCCGAAGTTACGGATTTTGGTACCTGTTATAGGAAAATTCGTAATGGATGGTATAAGAACAAAACAGCTCGCACCAGGACTAGGGTGGCAATGATAGGTCATACAGAGGCGATGCCTTGCAGGTTAGATTGGGTAGTTCGAGCACTAGAAACGGCCACTCTGAAAATAATCATATTACCAGGTATTGAACGTAGTTTTAAAACTGTTATTTCGCTGTTAGCACCTAAGATTGCTTTTATAACTTTTTCTCGAAGCACGACGCGTGTTACAGTTAGAAATTAAAGGAGACGGTGCCACCTTATCGATTTAGGTCCGCAACGCACCGCTTCGCGACCATAGGATCTTGATTCATTACGTCATGAAAGGTTGGCGACAGACTCGCGTACTCAAAAATGTTGATAAAACTTTTTATACGCTATAACTTTATCATTTTGCATTTTTTTGGCCTGCGGTTATTACTTTTAGTATATTTTTTTCGATGCTCTATCGAATCGCGTAGCCAAAATCCTTCGCGCTAAATAGAGGAAATGCCGAAAAAAATGTTGGGATCATTGGGCTGGGGCGGGGGTCCAGTAAAGTCTAGCCGAATTTTTTTGCGGAATCCAGAGCCCCGACTCCCATGCTCTGCCTTGCCTGTCCCTTTAAAACCGCTGGGCAACGCAAATTTGAAAAAAGTGCAATAGACAAACCTGAGTAACCAATATAATCAAAAATCCAGTCACAAAAGTGACGCCTTGTATGCAGTAGAAAATTAGCATCAGCGGATACCACCGTGTCCCCTGCACGATCATGTCATCAGTATAGATGGGGAGAAAAACATCCAACGCCACCCCGTCGACGTTATAATTGACCATCTGCGAGTAATCGATTAGAGTATCGTTCATCGAATTATTTGAAAGTAGTAGTGGAAGAAAATCAAAGCTAATTGATCGAGCAAACAATAGTCCTGTGAGAAGAAATTTGAGGGAACAGGTGAAAATTTGAGGCATGACCGGAAACGAAAAAAAACTGCTTTGCGTCGTTGACGTTCAAAAAATGTTTCTTTAATCATTTTGTGCAAAGAGAGAGGGTTTAAGTTGCAATGTAAAGGTCCTATGCAATTTTGCAGGCTTTAATCTACCTTTTCAGGGAAACCAAAACGCCAGGGATGTAATTGGGACGGGAATATCCGGATTTCGAAGAAAATCTGCTACTGTTTTAAAAATAGAAAATTGTTTTTGTCGGAAGCTCTACAAAAAATAATTAGCTCTGTCTGTAAATAATAAGATAATGTAATTATTTATGGTACAATATACTTAAAGGATTGTAATGAATAAGGAATATAGAAGCTTCTATTGTATCTAGAATTAATGATTTTTCTGTATTTGATTACGAAATCCTCTAATAAAAGCTATACGGTATTTTCGACCATAGTAATATGCAATTAATCCATACAAAACAATCCTTTGTCAGTTTCCGGTTTTTAGAGGTATCTAGCTTTATTCAACGTTCCAAGGAAAAAACTATGCGACCGCCCGAATGACTTTGGCAGCGACGCGTTGTCTGTGGCGCTCAATGAACGTCCTGAAAAATATGGGTTCCAGACATGAAACTGTAGCGTGAGGCTCCCATCACCGATCAAAGCAAATTACAGGTGTGGCCGCTCCAAACTCCCCTGGGGATGGTAATCAGAAGGCAATAAATTTCCGGCCGAGCTTTACTTTTCCAAGGATTGTACTTTAAAATGCAATCTTTTTCTGATATTTTTGTAAAATTCGCATTCCTGGAATCGAAAACCCTGGGGACTCCAAGAATTAATGATCGTCCAGGCGTCAGAATGTTTACCCGTACTTGTTGATTTTTGTAAGTCTCGGGTCCCGCTTTTGAAATTTTTGGAAACAGCAGAATTGTCGAAATTTATTTTTGTCGAGATTTCAGAATTATTCCGATTCTGCCCCCTTTAAAATGTGAAGTAATATATCCAAAAATCTCGACAGATTGAAGTTTCGATCAATTTCGCGCTGCGGAAATAAGCCACTTTTAACCACAAAACTAATTTTTTCGATTCCGATACCTCAACTCCTGCTTAATCTTCGGGTGTATGCTGATATTCCGGGTATCGTGACTATTGGACAACCTCCGCAGCATTCTCTTGGCGGCCGGGGAGAGTTCGGAGAGCTCCTGTTCTCGGGCCTGAAACCAGTCATTAAATTATAACCATCACCTGCCCGTGTTTTGCCCTTTAATTATTAAAAACGTTCGGGAGAACCCTTGCCCACGGTTCAACGAAACTGGTGTAGTCTAGCAGGAAACTGGGTTCTGATCGTACTAGGGTCGGATATTAGGCTAAGGCTTAGTAGGCCAGAGGCTTAGGCTTCGGCGTAGGTTTACGCGTAGACTTAGGCTTAGGTTTAGGCTAAGCGAAGCTTGGGCTTAGGCATGGACCTAGACAAAAAGTTCACTTAAAATACCTTCAAGACTCGTCTCCGCTTCGTCGCCCACGCGTTGTACTTTTCTAATTGTTTACCAGTCAGCAGGGATACGGCGAGAAGTTGGATCTGAAGGTAAATCGTATATTTCGAAATTCCTGACAAAGCTTGCAATTTTAGCTGTAGATTACCAACCTTCTGAGCTCGTAGGGGCTCTGAAACTATATCTTTATCACCCCAGGTCTTCATAAATTGTCGTCGGACTCCCGCTGAGGCTCCTTGGAGGAATGGTGCGTCCGGGGTATCGAATTTTTCGGCTAGAGGATCTTCCGAATTCCGTCCCTGAACATACAATGTAGTTTTCAGGCTCTTTCCGAACCTCGTTCTCCTCATCCTCGTGCTCATAGTCCTGATAGTCATTCCTAAACTTTTCTAAAACAATATTAACCTTGCAGGGATATGCTAACTTACTGGAATGTGAGAAGATGACACGCCCTCCAACCGGCGTATTGCTATTTGATGCCCCGCCATCGTAGTCGTCCTGATGTCTCGATTGAAGCTTCTTGTACTGGTGATATCTATTGAAGGCGGCTTTTTGCTTTGGGTCCTAAAAAATTAAAATATCGCTAAAAATCTAGAACCTACAAGATAGTCATACTCATGCGGGGCTTTCGGGATTTTTCTGAAAACTCCAATTTGCAGCGCGGGGGCATGAGGTGGCACGTACCCTTGAGTGGGTCGCGGTGTGTGACCTTGGAACTCCTCATGGTCCTGGACGTCCTGATCGGCATCCGGGAAATCCTCTGGGTCTTCTCCACGGTAGTCCTCGGTGTTTGCGTCGATTTGCTGAAAGAGAAGGTTACGCAAATCGCTTTGGTTTATGCTTATGCTTAGGCCCAGGTTTAGGCTTAGGCTTAGGCTTAGGCTTAGGCTTAGGCTTAGGCCCAGGCTTAGCCTTAGGCTTAGGCTTAGGCGTAGGCTTTGGCTTAGGCTTAGGATAAGCTTATGATTAGAATTAGGCGGGGGCTTGTTCAAACAAAATAGTCAAGAATCCCTACCGGCTTCGGTTGTTGACGTCGTTTGCCATCAGGGCGGAACTTGTTCCTCGGCTTGAACTTTTTTCGTGGCTCTGCCTCCTCTGGAATGATATTTTTTTGAAGCGATGAGCATGGATTCTCTTTTAACTTAGTCGACTTGATATAGCGTGATATGTGCGTAACAGAGGCCTACAATACGGTTTTTAAGGTGCATTTTTCCAGGGGCGTAAAGAGTTCACGCTCCTTGCCTTGTTCCTTCGGTTTTTAAAGGTAGTTTGACAGCCGGTCTTCATCAAAAACATTTTGCGTTTATGCAAACCAGTGCCAGCTACTCCCAATAACTTACCATGCAAGAACAAACCTGGATCCTCAGGTCCAAAGTTGGCGGTGGATTCTTCTGGGACGGAGATAGGCTTCTCCCTTTCTTCCGGCAGCTCGGGCTCAGTAGTAGTAATAGATTCCAATCTCTCCGTTGTCAAATCCCCATCCGGCACTTCTGACGTGATTTCTGGTGCCACAGTAGTGCTGGGTGTGCCAGTGGAAGCTGCGGGCTCTTCTTTTTCAGCCGTTGTCAGCTCGGGTGCTTGGCTGGTGCTTTCGGGCTTAGGTTCTGTCGGCTTTTCACCCTTCTTGCCTCCTTTTGGCTTGGCTTCCGGTCCAAATTCTTCGCCAAATTGTCGTACAATGTCGAGGATGTCTTTGGTTTTTTGCTTCTCGGCTTCGCAGTCGCCTTGGGTGTAGGCGCCCCTGAAAATTCGGTCGACGTCAGAATTCAGAAGTTAATGATCTTGAAGTTTTCAAAACTTACCAAACCGCTTCCAGTTCTTTTTGAGCATATTCTGGTAACGTCAAAAATTCGTCTGGAAGACCACAATCTTTAGAAGTAGTTGTGGAGACACTTGAGGAGGAAGATGACTAAAATTTGAAAATTTTGATTTGTTATAGTATGATCTATACTTCTGAAACACTTTAAAGTGCCCGGCAAATCATAAGATGGTTTGTTTTCGCTATAGATTTTCCGACTGTGGAACGTAACGTGCGCAAATATAACTTATTTCATTACGCGATGCAAATCGGACGTGTGCGTTGCGTGTCGCGGGTACGGAAATCGCTCAAAGAAAACAACAGGTTTGCATTGCCGCTTTTTCTGAAAATTAGGCCCGCGATGCGCAACGAGCACTCGATAAACGTGGTGAAATTTCGGTATCTTACGCTTATTCCACTACGCCATAAAAAAACGCAGCGCGTGGGTTGCGTGTTGCGGATCTTAACTCTCAAAGGAAATCCATAGCTCTGCTAGTCCGCTTCTTTAAAAACTAAGCCTGAGAAACGCAACGGGCAAATTTTTCAATTTGAATTTGAATTTGGAAAACTGATATAAAGAAACTATAATCGAACTACAACCAAAATGCAGGGATACGCATCGCGAAAGGTCGTATTTTTAGATCTATAGAAAAATCATGCCTTATACGTCCCTTTAACCCCCCCCCCCCCACCCAAACTCACATCATTTGGCGCCACAATACCCAGCAGGGCTAGGAAAAGTAGTCGTCGTTGCATTGGGGTCAGTGATTTTCCAGAAGTCTTACTCTTCGTCTCCGTCTTCCCGTCCGGACTAAATATTTAATCTTAGCGCTGTTGTTGATGCCAATTCACGTTAAAAACAACTAAGCACGAAATCACAAACTCTACCCCGTTTCGGTCCACTCTACATTGTTATGCCTCAACAAAAAGTTGTCCGCCTTGAAATGGGTGATGCTCATTTTCAAAGCGATTTCGGGCAACAATAACAGAATCGTAAATTTAGAGCTAGGAATTACGTGTAGTCAGAGGTAGTAGATGGGATGAGATGTACGGATTTTGGGGCGCTGACCGGAGATGCGCCTCTCCGGTTTACCGGAAAGCCGTGTCTAGTACTTGTGCCAAGGTACTCAAGGAGTCGCGCGCGGAAGGTAATAATACTCTTTTCCTTTTTACTGCCTTACTCCTTCCAGGGAAGGCATCCGGACACTTTCTCTTGGTATGTCGTGTCTCTCTCCCTCCCCCTCTCTCTCTCTCTCACCTGCATCTCTCTCTCCCTCTCTCATCACTAATTGCCTCATTTTATTCCATAAATGACCGGGGACCGAGTAGAGTACTGAAACAAGAGGTAGACAGATGCTGGTCAGTTTTCTGGTCAGGGTCAGAGCCGAGAAACAAAATGGCGCATTTTAGGAAACGGGTCTCGGACTACTGTTGACGAGAAACTGGTAAACTATGCCTAGACTAGGCTAAACTTGGGCTTCGTCTTAGGATGCTGTGTGATATGACAGACGCATTAATAGTAAGTATGAGATGACCTAACTCATCTCTAGCCTTCAACGGTCTTTTAAAAGGTCGTGATAATAATGATATTTTCATGATTCAAGGAGAAGTGTCATTAATATAGCCTTGAGGGCCGCTCCTATAATTTAGTGGACCTACGAAAGTAATATTTTCGCTTTATTGTTCCGAACTATAGTATTTAGATCCGAAAATATCTTCTAAAGTTGAAATTTTGGCTGGTACCTAATTTCAAACATATGTTGCATTAATGGTAGGTTAATTAATGTAATTAGTCAGTCATACCTTCTCCCAATATACCTAGATGTATATATGAAATCCAAACGGCTAAATTACGGCCAAAGTACAGGTAACTTGAATCTTGGTACCGAGGTTTCGAAACAAAAACACCTCTGACAAGCGACAACAACGAAAAACGAAATATTCAGAACCTATGCCTCTAACAAATATAACAGCCTAATGGTCAACAAAATATAGACCCTATGAAAATTCATACTGCAGTCTGCCCGCCCGAGTTGCCGGTGGGGCTACTGAAGTGAAAGGAGGAACAGCCGGGCCGGCGGCAGGAACCAGCCCGCCACGCTTCTGCCCACGCGAGGAGGTGGATATCCTTGATGGCATTTATGCAGAAGCACCTCGGCGGAGAAAGGCGCTGAAGGGCCGGAAGGAGCACGAGGATGAGGAGGAGAGCCCCCTTTCGTTTGCTTATACAGTAGTAGCTCTTCGTAGCGGGCTCATAAGCACGTCGGCGACCCCTGCGCCTTGTTTTCTGGCCGGTTTTTTTTGCCCATCTCTCAATAGGGCAACATAGACACAACCACTTTCCCACATCACACTTTCCTTTCCGTTTAGGGGGTGATGTCGGATGATGGAGACTGTAGCGTCGAGTGGAAAGGGCGCTTGACCGTTTTGCCGATGGCGGAAAGAGCGAATCGACCTTAAAGTGAAAAATGCAACTAAAGAGATGAGAAACAAACGAGTTTTCTTTTTTTTCTTTTTCATTTTTTAAGATGCAAATTGAGTTGTAAAAGCCCGATTGCCCCTAAATAGGGCTTGAAAGGCAGCGTAACCCGATCCCTCGTACAGTTGCGTACAAAGGTCATACGCGCTGCGTAAACACAGTCAGGCTTTTGGATAAAGCCATTCGTACTCGTGCATCTCCCGAAGGAAATGCATTCCAAAATTTGTTCGAGACACTCGTCGAGGTCTCGGGGTTAATGCTAACCTCAAACTTGGGTAATTAAACCGAAGCTGTCGTTGGCTGGCCGCTCTTACCATCTGCCTTGACTCCAGGTGAGCGACTTTTCCCTTGCGGCTACTTGCTGAAACCGTATGATTTTCCAAGTTTCGAAAAATCATAGCAACCATGCCCATCCGGCTTCGTACCAGAGTTTGTTCGGCGTTATTTTTGATGCTGGTTCAGCTGCAAATTGAGTTGCGTATATTGACAATGCCCGTTTGGCCCCGGTTACGCCTCGAAAGGTAGCGTAAACCCCTTCACCGTACAGTTGCGTACAACGACCATACGTGCTGCGTAGCCACATTCAAAATTTTCGTGAACTCGTCTTAGATTTGAATTATTTGTGCACTTCCCGAAGGAGATGCGTTCCAAAATTTGTTCGGGACACTCGTGGAGGTCTCGGGGTTAATGCTAACCTCAAACTTGGGTAATTAAACCGAAGCTGTCGTTGGCTGGCCGCTCTTACCATCTGCCTTGACTCCAGGTGAGCGACTTTTCCCTTGCGGCTACTTGCTGAAACCGTATGATTTTCCAAGTTTCGAAAAATCATAGCAACCATACCCATCCGGCTTCGTACCAAAGTTTGTTCAGCACTATTTTTGATGCTCGTTCAGCTACAAATTGAGTTGCGTATTGAAAATGACCGTTTGGCTCCGATTAGGCCTTGCATGCTTAGGCCTTGCATGCAGTGTAACCCCTTCCCCCGACAGCTGGGTACAACGATCATACGCGCTGCGTAGTCACATTCAAGATTTTGGTGAAGTCGTTTCAATTAAATTTCGTCATTGAATTGTTGCTTGCCACGCGGATAGTTGCAGGACATATAAAGCGCAAACGCATTTTACCGTCTGTTTGTCGGGTTATTTTTGCCCCGCTCTCTCGAGGGGGCTCCAAAAATTAGAGTATACTCATAATTGTTCGTGTGCACGGAAATCTTTAGTAAAAGGCGAAAGATTTTCTCGGTCAAATGCACACGAACCAGAGGGAGGAACGGAGGGAGGGGTGGGTGGTTGTGGGGATAGAGAAGCTCAGATGGGGGGCTAGTGGGGTGCCGACTGGGAGCATGCAGTTAGCGCACACTAGCTACCAATGGCTTTGCTTCTATTTTGATACCAAAGGTTTTGTTTCTATCATTTCATGATCTGTGTGACGTGTAATGGGTTCAGGCATAATTTATAATTCGATGTTTGTTGAATCATTAACTCGTACGGAAAGTTACAACTACATCGATCTACATCATAAACACACATCCAAGTAGAGCTAACGTATTCGTTTTTGTGTTCTTCCATTTTTCAATGGCCATTACCGTTATCAGACAATTGATGGTCAGCCACCGCTTGTAATTGCGGCGATTTATTGGGTCCTTAACCCGTGTGGCTGCTTCGGCTTAAATGCACTTTTCCGTGGTGGAAGTTTCCAAATTTAGCGTGCTCCTTTAACGGAGAGCATTTCATTTGAAACGACAACTGAGAGTTCGACAACAACGTCAGCCGCGCCTATCCTAATTTCTCCATGCCCCACACTGTTCATTGCCGATTTATCGCATCAGTCTGATTATAAAGTATATTGATGCCCATGTAAGGCATCAGCGGCCCATGTAAGGTATTTAGGGACCACAACGGCTAGCAATCGAGGCTGCCGTGAAGATACTTTTTGACGAAGCTTCGAGCGTGGGCATAAATACCACAGTTGCGTTTTGGCGCTATGGCAGTGGATTGGAGGCTGATGGGCCATTACCGACCACTTTTGCCACTTCAGCAAGCGATGTCAGGCTCGATTTTAGCCGGCCAGGTGGCGAGCTTCTGAATGCGCAGTTCGTGATAATTTATGTAATTTAAAATTATCCTTTTAGCGCTTCCGATGCTCTGAATGATTGGCCTGACGAAAGTGCAGTTGTTGTTTTGTTTACGCAGAGGTGACGCTCCTTCGAAAAAATTATACAACTTCTATTTAGCCCAGGATATTGATTTTGCCGATGATACTTATACGAGAAGAGACTTTACGATTGGCGTTTCCGGTAATTTTAATCCCGAAAGTCTATAGTGATCTATAGAAAAGCGGAACACTTGGCCGTAGGCAATCTTTCCACTAGAAATCGACGATCCTCGAGTTATTACCAAACTTGTATGACAGCTGTGCAAGCGTTTGGTTGTGTAGGAAAATTAAGCCTACCCTACCAATCTCACTTTATGAGAATCGTTTGTTTGGTCTTGGAAATTTAGTTAAATTAGTTAGTCGAAGTTTCTCATAAAAATATTCCAAATTACATGATGTTTTGTTGATCTTGTATTACGGTTTTATAGGAGTTCAAGGATAATTTCATATCATGCTCCTATTCGCATCTGTCTGTGTCAAACAAACAGATAAATAATTTATAATCACACGAAGCACACAATGATGCGGATATAGCTTCTATGAATGCGTATTGCAATATCGAATGGAGGGGCGTCTGCTGGCGACTGGCACGTTGAGGGAAAAGACTACCGCGTGGTGATTGGGACAAGGAAAAATGATATAATTAATAGGGTACAGGGTAGGTACGCGGCGGATTGGGACTGAGCATTAGTGGACGAGCGGAAGGCAGCGGAATCGAAACGGAAGTGTCAATTCTTAGACTATTAAGATTCCATTTTGATTCCGTGGGTTCTATCGAACCCGTAGTCAATATCAAGAAAAATATGTAGGTAAAAACGTATAATCACAGGATGTAGATTGAGGGTCTTGAGATTTTTGAATCGGGCTCTAGCATCGGGATATGTCTGTTTGGGCAGCTTCAAAGGGAGGAATTCTAAAAAAACGGGTCTAGCACAGCGGCTTGACTTGAGCAATCTTTCCGCTCGGCTCCACCATGCGGATCTCGTCGATGGCGCAGGCGCCCTGGTTCGTTCGAGTGTTCTCGCAGACGAAGATCACCTGAAATTACCATTAGTGCGTGATTTTGAAAGAGATCGTACCTTCTCGGTGCCCTTAGGACACTTGAGCGATGCCGTCTTCCAGACGCGGTCGCTGACCTTCACGAACTTGTCGGAGGAGAAGGGACAGCTATCGAGGGAATCGCAGCAGCCCTAAAAAAATTTGTTTTGTAAAACCGTAAACAGGTATCTCGCGTACTACATACTCCTTGCTCTCTATCTCGCTGTCTCTCACACCCTCTCTCTCACACCCTCTCGCTTTCTCTGCCCCCCCCCCCCCCCCTTCGCTCTCGCTCGCGCTCTCTCTCTGGCGTTGTCTCTCTCTCTCTCACTTTCTCTCTCCTCACCTTAAGCTGAACTCCGTGTGTTCCCTCGTAGTAATGGAATCGAAGTCGTGAGTTCTCGGTGAACGGCGCGTTCTGGACCTCCAATCCGGCCATTTCACGTGGGAACAAGAAGGTGGCGGCGTAGTACGAGCCCTCTGAATAAATTCTAAATCAAGAACCATAAAATCCACTAACCAATGCTTTCCCTAACTCCGGTCACCCTGTTCATGAACTGTCCGGAGACGACCTGGAACTTGGTGGTGAGGCCTCGGATCGACTGTGTTTGGTGGGCATCTTTGTAGTGGCAGGTGGTGCCTGAAACAGGTTGATGTTGTTGACGCCTTAAGGTACAAGACAGGCTTCATCTAGCTGAGGCTTAGACATGGCTGAGATTTTGGCTTAGGCTTAGGTTGGCTTAGGTTGCGCTGGAACTCACCATCTTCGAAGTCACACTTGGTGTTCTCGCAAATATCCTTACTGAACGCCTCGCTCTCGGCGGCAACGACGGTCTGCTCACCGTGCGCCTTGCGGGTGGATTCAACCTGGAAAACGTAGCTTAGCCCCGCATTGCCTTACAGTAGGTTCATCAAGTTATAACCACTTACAACATGGTCATCTCCATGAATCTCCTCTCCCTCAACTTCAGTCGACTCAACCTTCATGTTCAATCGATCCTCAATGGTCCGCTTGCGTCCGGCCAAGTCCTTCTCAGCCTCGCTGAACTCCTTGTCGGTGAGGGTGGCGCTCTTTCCAGCGGAGTTGGTTTCTAGAGGCAAATTTGCAGGGCTTTCCGGATTCACAAACCGACGGTCAGCCTCTGAGCAGCTTCAGCTCCATTCTCCTCCTCGCGAGCGCACTCGGGTCCGTTGGAGTCGTACGACACCTCGATGTCGTCGAGGATGGCCATATCGCCGTTCTCACCAACAAAGTTGGAGGCGACGAAGATGATCTGGAGTATTTGAGGTGATTTTGGACTGAAGATGTCTGTTTATCCCTCTCTCCCTCTCACTCTCTCTCTCTCTCTCTCTCTCTCTCTCTCTCTCCCTGTCTCGCTCGCTTTTTAAAACCTACATCGATGAGCGAAGCTTTTGGCAACACCAGCTCGGTCGTGCCAATTCCGTTAACCTGAGGGAACTCCTGGCAGTTCAACAACGGGTTGAAGTTGACGGCGTTCGGGAACGACTCGCGCTGGCACACTTGGAGAAGCACGTTCTCCGATTGCCAATGCCTGAAAAGTTGAGCTTGATTACCCTAGAAAAGTCAAAGGCCGACTCGTCAAGAAGTTGGCATACTTGGCGCGGACGGTGATCGGCGATGACGCGCAGGCGATGGCACACGAAGCGAATTGAGCTTCATCTGAAGGCGCAGCTCCGCGAGCGTACGCGATCAGGTAGCTGCCTTCTGAAATGAAGAGTTGAGTACGTTGGTACTAGGCTTCGGCTTCGGATTAGGCTTCGGCTTAGGCTTAGGCTTAGGCTTAGGCTTAGGCTTAGGCTTAGGCTTAGGCTTAGGCTTAGGCTTAGGCTTAGGCTTTGGGCTTAGGCTTTGGGCTTAGGCTTGGGCTTGGGCTTAGGCTTGGGCTTTTGGGCAGGGGCTTAGGCTTAGGCTTAGGCTTAGGCTTAGGCTTAGGCTTAGGCTTAGGCTTAGGCTTTGGGCTTAGGCTTTGGGCTTAGGCTTGGGCTTGGGCTTAGGCTTGGGCTTTTGGGCTGGGGCTTAGGCTTAGGCTTAGGCTTAGGCTTAGGCTTAGGCTTAGGCTTAGGCTTAGGCTTAGGCTTAGGCTTAGGCTTGGGTAGCCTAGGCTTAGGCTTAGGCTTAGGCTTAGGCTTCGGCTTAGGCTTAGGCTTAGGCTTAGGCTTAGGCTTTGGGCTTAGGCTTGGGCTTTGGGCTTGGGCTTTGGGCTTAGGCTTGGGCTTTGGGCTTAGGCTTAGGCTTAGGCTTTGGGCTTAGGCTTGGGCTTAGGGGCTTAGGCTTTGGGCTTAGGCTTGGGCTTTGGGCTTAGGCTTGGGCTTGGGCTTGGGCTTGGGCTTGGGCTTGGGCTTTGGGCTTGGGCTTGGGCTTGGGCTTGGGCTTGGGCTTGGGCTTGGGCTTGGGCTTGGGCTTGGGCTTGGGCTTGGGCTTGGGCTTGGGCTTGGGCTTGGGCTTGGGCTTGGGCTTGGGCTTAGGCTTAGGCTTAGGCTCAAGGCATAACCCTTTTGCAAATCGTTGCAAACGACCACCAGTGGTCCAGGTGGGAAGCCGGTCGGGTCCTCAAAACGTCTAGATAGGAATTCAGCTGTCAGCCATATATTTTCAAACAAAACTAGAGATGATTCTTTTGAAAATTTCTAAGCACCTATTTTCAGATTTTTTTACTATCACCCCGTCTGAAGCGTGAAATGTTCAACTATCGCTAGCTATCAATCCATCACTTTTCCCCCTAAAGAACCAATACCAGCCGGCGTCCCACGGCGAAACTTAACCCATTTTCCTTTCCAATCCGCCCGCCCAGTGTTGAAGATAGCTGTTTTCCGCGGCTGGATCAGGCGGGGGCTGGATAGCTTTTCCCACAGCTGGATCCAGTTTGGATTGGATTTGGATTTCGGAGTTTTTTCGCGTGCGGAAGTATGGATATGGGTCAGAGATCGAATTCAGGTTCTCCAGGGTGCGAGGGAAGGCAAAGATCATTCTACAATAGCTATGCATTTGGTAAGCTATTCTAGGGGTTTCTTGTGCAAAATTTCGACTCAACGATGTGATCTTGCTGAAAAAAATCCCGGCTCGACCCGGGAGCTGTCATTTACTGAAGCCGGGATGAAGGTGAAAGGGGGAGATTTTCGGAGAGATTATTTGGATGCTCCTCCTCAAAAAATGTGGCGCTTTGAGGAGAACTAACTAGGTTCCCATAAATTCAAACTTTTTAGGTCCTTCATTAACATTTAAATGTCAAAAAGATGTTTTCCAATGAGCGTGTCCCAAACCTATGGCAGTCATCGAGAGGAGCGCACCGTAGTCGTAATGAGGTACGATACGCCCCAAAAGACATCTTAAACTGTTGCGTTTTCAGCCTTAAAAATATGAAGTTTTGTTGATTTTTATAGCCATTTTAAAGTTCTTCTCTAAGACCAATATTTGTAAAAAAACGGAAATTCTTGCCAAATTTTTAGACAATTTTTTGTTAAAATTCCAAGACCAGCGGTGTAATCGAAAGCAGCGTCGTTACGTTCCAAAAAACACTGTAGTCCCGCACCTTTTTTGCGAATTATAAGTGACGCTACGCTCCAAATGGGACTTTGCCTTAATGCGCCCTCCATATTCTTTTTATTAAGAGAAGGGTGACACGTTAGATCAAAAAAATATGCGGTTAAGGTTCAAACTACCCTTTCATTTTTTTTTCGTCATTCCATCCCTCATTACAAGAGGTACCCTCACACTCTCAGATGCCAACGCTTTTCTTCAGCGTCTAGCTGACGAGACATAAAAAAACTTGTTCGTCCCCCTAGCGGTGAGCTCGGCCGGCTGATAGAAAATCACTGGGCAGGGAGGGGTGGAACCGGCTATTTCCAACGGATCGCATAAATCCGGGAGGGGGCAACGCAGCGGCTAGCCTCCGTTGCGCACCTTTAGACGCCATCCTAATAGCACCCCACCCCTAATCACATCATTTTCAAGAGGGCCGCGAAACTGTGGGGTGTTTTTTGCGCATTTTTGGAGGGCGATGTGTCAGGGCATTCAGGTATTCAGATTACATTAAAAAATGCAGTATAGTCTAACGGGTTAGTTTTAAACCGTAAATGTCGTAAAAACGGACCTGGGGCCGGAACATTCTGGAAACGTGCCGTGTCGGGCTTTCCGGTGGCAATCTGCCAATCGAGCTGATCATCTGGGGGCGGAACGTTGGCCCAGCAGCAAGGTCGGCCGTCCATATAACAGGACAGGGCGGCTCCTGGAAATTTGCATAAAGTTAGCAGTAATGGATGTTTATATAAAGCTAGCGGGAGAGAGAAGGACAGAGAGAGAAAGAGTCAGATAGCGAGAGGTAGAGAGAGAGAGATAACTAGCTCTTTATTGATTTGCTACCTTGACTTCGAAATTCCTCAATGTCTAATTTTTCTGCATGCTATTTGAGGGCAGAGAAAGTTCCGGAAAACTTATCTAGGTAAATTTAGCCACTATGCGCTTCCATGTTTATAAATTTCGAATTACTATTCTTCGGTATGTCTGTTAGCTGCGATCATTCTGAAATTCTAGGATTTTCGCCCTATGACTATGGTGCAATCCATTCCGTGCCAAATCTTCCCCATTCGAATTCAAATTTCCCACAGCAGGTGCCCGGATGCTATTCCTAGCGATAAAATCCTCGAAGTCACAATCCCCCTTGCGGGTCGCATTATAGGTTGTCACCCATGTATGGTAGAAAGGGCAAGTCTCACCCCCGGATGGGGAAGTTCCAAGGGATTTTACTGTCGCTGCGGGTTGCACCTCGCGGAGTCCGGATCAGCCAGCCAAAACCTGGTTTTAAACCGGGGCACCTGTGGGGTTCCAGGATTAGACTATGGACTGGAGGCACAGTGAGGAAATATAGCAAGTAACATAAAGGTAGGAAGGAACGGATTGGAGGATCGATAGGCCGCTGCTTCGAAGAATTGGACGTAGACTGAACATTAGGCTTATGCTTCAGCTTCGGCTTCTGAGCTTAGACCTTAGACTTAAGCGTAGGCTTCTGGCATCGGCTTAGGTTTAGGCATAAGTTAGACTTGAGTTTAGGTATTGGCCTATGCTTAGGCTTAACGCCTGGCTAAAACCATAAAAACAGGCGGTTTTTGCTCTCCGCCGCGCATAATTTGTACTTCTACACCAAGTATGACATGCACCATTGTGTCATCCACCCGCGGCTACATCCATCTTGCACGAAATTGGCGAGTTGGGGCGAAAATCCCCTAGTGAGGGAGAAAGAGGTAGAATCTAGCCGACGTGGGATGGCTCTGGCAAGTCTTTCTTTAGAGAGGCGAATTTAAACGAATGACGCGGATTTTTGGGCTTACTGAGTCTAAACAACAACAGAACAAACCTTAGGTACCTATCACTAGATCCTAGCACTAATTATAACAAGCTATAAAAATCCGAGACTTCCAAAACTTGTGTAGTTCTCTAAAAAGCGCATCTGCGTTTTTAGAACCGGTAACGTTAAAAACATTATTTTTTTTACGTGCTCTCCATTTTTCCGAATAGTTTCCCCCCTTAAAGCGTTGTTGTGAGCCCAAGACACACATTCACCCGAACCTAGCATTCATCCAGAACTGCCCCCCAAAGCCTAGGCGTACGAGGTGAAATCGAAATCCCTGCCAATTCGACGGGGGTTGCATGCGGCCGTGGATCGATGTGAGGGGGTACGAAGTTCGGTAAAATTTTTGGAAAAGTTGTGTGGTGCGTTTCTTTTAACCTTAAAAGGGAGATGGTAGGGTTTGAGAAAAATAGAAAGGCGATAAACTACGTTGAAAGGAACGAAGAAGACAAGACAATTTCTGAAGGTCGTCTAGGGTCGAGAAATGAATATTGCCATTAAGAAAGCGAATATCTTAATGGCAAAGGAATGTACGGATAACGAGAGAGAGGGAGAGAGAGAGAGAGAGAGAGAGAGAGAGATGGCGAGGACGATATACATAAGCCAAAATACCAACCTCGGTTGACAGGTCCACCACCCTCATTGTTGTAACCGTCAGCGGAAAATTCGCTAGTCTTGATCTTCTGGCCGAGGAGGTCTGAAAAACAGAGATCAATTTTTTCATTGTTTTACTCGCCTCTCATGCTCCCAAAACCTGGAGCAAGACGTCTATCCAGACCCTCTTTCCCATGCCCCTAAAATTCTCCTCAACCACCCCCAAGTAGCTGATCGACCAGAAATCGAGTGGACGCAGATGGGGGATGACCATAGTGGGCAACGGGTTCTGGCAGGGATCTACGCTTTCCGAACAAGGAGTTTTGCCTAGTTCTGCACTTCCCGAAGGAAATGCGTTCCAAAATTTGTTCGAGACACTCGTGGAGGTCTCGGGGTTAATGCTAACCTCAAACTTGGGTAATTAAACCGAAGCTGTGGTTCGCTCTGCGTTCCTGTCATCTGTCTTGTCTCCAGGTAAGCGACTATTACTGCGGTAAGCAGAAGGGATGTTATCAATTTGCCAGCTCAGCCCAAGTTTAAAATTACGCTTGGTTAGCTAGAAATTTCGTTAGCGTAACGCCAGACCTTCAGCTTCCGATTTCCACTAGATCTCAATCAGCTTTTTCCCACGTTTCCTCTATTATAGCTTTTTGTTCCCCTAAACCCCATCACCTCATAAGATCACATTCCATTTTCAATTTCCCACCCCAAACCCCCCATTGAGAAGGCACGACACTTTGAGGCCGAAAAGGGAGATTGTGCTTTTTGCGGGGCACACTGATATCCGGATGACCCGAATCGAGAGTGGCGCCCTGCATCCCCCCGAGCACGAGCTCTTTCTCTACGCGAATCGAGCTCTACCCATGGCGGACCGAATACCCGAATCCATTCCAGAATTTTTGTGTGTTGGGGCTGAGAGTTGGGGTGGGGAGAAGAAGCTGAACCATAGCTGGGAGATGGCCGACGGGTTCTCGACACGAGAGGATGAGGGATGGATAGGCTAATGGGATAGATGGATCGCTGTGGAACGTACGGTTTTTTGGGGGAGCAAGAGGGGTGGCTTGTACGAGCAATAGGAAGGAGAATTTGAAAAAAGTTGCAATAAACGGAGACGAATTCATGTAAGGAAAAGTAATCAACAGGATGCCAAAAAATTTCCAATATGGTTGCGGAAGTATGCTTTTAGGCTAAGGCCTGGGCTTAGGCCAAAGCCAAATTTTGCTTAATTTGGAAAACCCACATTGCAACACTGATTGATGAGGCGCATTCGGCGAGTTGCCAGTTAACGGCTGAGCAGGAGCGGTATTTGGGGCTCCTCGGGCCACGGCCGCCTAAAATTGGGAATTATTCGAGTAAAATTTCCGCTTTCTTTAATAAGCTTTTAAAATAAACCAAAATAACGGAACGGCTGAAGATGGAAAATCAGCAAAAAGGTTGGAAAAATAAACGCGTATTGATTAGAGGGCTGCTCGGGGTGAGATTAGCTACGATTTAGGGTAGCCGTCGAGAAACATCGGAAGCCTTTTTGAAAAAGTCGGAACAGTGATTCTAAAGGTACAGAGATGCCAAGATGGCTGTGAATTATTAAAATCCTTCTGGCATTAGCTTCTCTGCCCCTTTAAATGTTAACAGTCGGGCTCGCTGGGATCAAAAAATGGGAAATCAAGAGTTTTTTGAAAAGTCTAGTCCCAGCGAGCCCACGACGTCGGAAAGCAGGTCAATAATGAAAGGCAATAAAAGGTGTATTGGGCTAGAAATGGTTGTAAGTAGCTGCGGAAAATGTTATCGGCAAAAATGCGCTGATTTCTCGGCGAGTGCGCAATTTGTTTCACCTGGGCACATGGAGCCGGGGCACAGCAGCCACCGCCGCACTAGAAAAATGACCGGGTTTTTGGGGGACATGCCAAAATGGTATTAATGTTTAAATTAAGGTATCAGGGCGCTGAAATTGTTAAATTATCTAAATAGTTTTTAAAAAAGGCTCACAGCTTGTGGAGCGGTGTAGGTGGGGCCAGCGCTGTACGTACGGCTGGCGGTCGTTAGGCAGGCGTTTGCTGAAAATAACATAATCATAGAAGTTTTAGGCTTAGGATGCGATAGATAAGTCTAAGCCTAAGTTTAAACCTAAACCTAAGCCTAAGCTAATCTCAAGCATTTCACCACTTGACTAACTTTCAAAGGTATCACTACAAAGATTCGACATGGTATATCAGCTTTTGATGGGACCAAAGCATTCTTAAACCGGTTTTCTAACCAATATGCCCATTCACTTTTATGATATCTTAAAAGTTCCTCTTTTCGGAATCCTTAGTTTCTTAACCCTTAAAATTTCCAAACCGCTACTCCACCCCACTACCGGTTTCCCCCGGAGGCATTTCGAGTCGGGAAAACGAGACTCCCGGCCGGGATGCATTGTGGCCATCCGCCGTGAAGGTCAACGAAAGTATACTGGTCAGGTCAGAGGTTAGAGATGTGTTTTAGCATAAAAATGATCAAATTTATGTGCTATTTAAAGTTTTTTAACAAAATTTCAAATTACCGAATGCATGGGCTTATTTAAAACATATAAAACGCCTCGAAAATGATTGACAATGACTAGGAAGTAGTAAAAATCAGAAAATGTTTAAAGTGTTAGGCATAGTAAACCCCTTCAAGAATAAACGTGCAAGAAGACGTTCTCAGGCATAAAGCGGAACAAAATTGCTCAAAATTCCAGCACAACTCCACGCCACAAACCTGTCGCCAAAACAGCCGTTACAAGCAGTATCCGCTTCATAGTTGCAGCGGCGCAGCACAGATCTGGAGAAGGTCAAAAGGGATGTCCACACTTGCGATTCAAAATCCGGAGTGCTGCCGTCGGGCGTGCCTCGCAATAAAAAGCGCCCTGGGGGCACGAAGCTCGCGCTCCTCCTCGCTCGGCTCCTCCTCCTCCTCCGCCAGCCCCCGAATTCTCAGTTTCTCCCGCTCCTCCACAATCTCTTGGTGACCTACTTCTCCGCCACCTCCGTCTCCTCCTCCTCCTCCCCCGCCGGCCTGTGGCTAAAGGGGATGTGCTGAAGCCTGGAGGAAAGCCCAGAAAGGATCATCCATTCCACAGAGAGACGCGCGGTCTGTGGACCGGTCCACCTCCTGTGGAACCGCGCCCTCTTGCGCAACGCGGGCGGCCAAGAAACTTTTTTTGGGGTTAATGAGAGTGATGACATAGGCTTATGCCTAGGCTTAGGCTTCCGCTTAGGTTTAGGTCACTGGAACTGTCAATATAGGCTTAGGTATACGTTTAGGCTTGGGTCCAGGTTTTGGCTTAGGATTAGGCTTAGGGTTACGTTAGGGTTAGGGTTCGGCTTAGGCTTGGGCTTGGATGTAGGCTTAGGCAAAGGCTCATGCTTAAGCTTATGCTGACGAGAGCTCATACTGAAGCTGATTTTTCGTTGAAAAGCACGATAGTCGGGTTCTGATAATCCCACGCGGACCCATCACTAGAACCCCCGGTCAAATTCTCCATAACCGCCCGACCCTGCAGTGGCGCGGTGGCTGTGTTGTCCCGCGCGTCCGGTTTGGCATTATTCTTGTTATGGTCAGCGCGGGCTACCAGTTGAAGGGGCGGGCGCTACACCCAGGGGCGCGCGTTGCGCAAGGGGCGTCTTGACCCACCGGGACCGGTTTCGTGCCCGGCCGCTTCAGGAGCCCGGTCCGGCCGCTTTGTGAGCTGTTTCCGGACAATCGTAAAAATTTGAATGGCCGAAATCGGGGGTTATGGCAGTGGCGTTTTTAGATCCTGTGAGGAGTTTGTATTGGTTTTGAAGCTTGTGGTCTCGGTTTTTTATAACTTGTAGACTATCGTACATTGTGATGACGATGCTAGCCATTGAAAATGCTGGATATCAGGCGGAATAGCATATGGGTGAACACAGATAATAACCTCGTTCCATACGTCATGAGGTGCTACCGGAGATCACAGGAGCTATGATACCACCCCATTCAGTTAATTGATTGACCCCAAAGAAGTCTCCGGAGTTTGCCTAGTCAAAAAATACCCATCTCTTTCCCTACGCCATCAAGTACATCCCGAAATGATATGCAGTATGTTACCGCCCCATCCTCATCCTCAAATAACTTTTGCCCAAAATGTATCCTCAAGCCTAAGACTAATCGAAAGCCTAAGCCTCGCTTTTGCCTAAGTCTAAGCCTTAGCCTTAATCTGAACCTAAGCATAAGCCTATACCGACAGTCCCAGTGACCTGATCAGATCAAAACATCCGCATCATCTGCCAACGATCTACCCAAGTTCAAATTAGCAAGATGGTTTGCTCAGGCTCAGCACCAATTTGCTTCAGCCACCCACCCCGATCGACTCATAATTCGCCTCGGGACACCGTCATCTTTCAACGATGCGACGTAACGAGATGCGCGCGAAGGTCGGAGGATCTCAATCGCCAATGAGCCGCCCCAGGCGAGAGCCAAAAACGCCGGCTTTTGGCGTCGATCCGTCTTTTTGTCGCGGACAGTTCCTTGGCGTATGCAAATGGCGTGCCATCGGCCTGCCCGATCTGCCAGCTGCGACTCGTGATCCCTCGAACCGGATTCTGACTACGGGTGGGCAGAGTCCATGATGGAGATGGAGTCGAAAACATTAATAGTCGAAATTAAAGACGGTCGAAAGGGTCCGGAAGCTACCGAGGCATCAGTTTTGTATACCTCGGAAAGACTACGCTTTTTTCTCAAAGAGCTTTTCGTCACTGATTAAAGAGAGAGAGAGAGAGATAGAGAGAGAGAGAAGAGAGAGAGAGAGAGAGAGAGAGAGAGAAAACTGAATAATAATGACTTGGCACTTTTGATGATGTTCGTCATCGGAGGGAGCTGCGAGCATTACGGAACGCGAAACGGTGGGTTTTTCGAGTTTCGACTCCAACAATAAAAGAAAGCAACAGCGTTTTCACTCTCTCTCTCTCTCTCTCTTTTCTCGCTCTCACCCCCTCTCTCTCGCACTTCAATTGTGGACTACAAACCGAAATCATGCCTAATATGCAAATTCTTCCACCGTGCCATCTATACCAGAGATGCCGAGCAGGGAGGCTTATCCTCCGAAGAACCGGCTCTCGACGCCCAGGACAGAGAGCCCTCGTTTTTCCACGGTCAGCCGGGTCATAAACGCCCTTCTTGTCGGCCCGGCACGCGGAGGCCGACACTCAGATACACACAACGGGATTGCATAACGGCCCCCCCCGAGAGGGCATTGTGGATTTTTCGCCGACCGGACTTCAACAACTGGTCGTCGGCAGGAAGTATGGGATAACAGGGGGCGATTTTGCATCGCAACCGTTTTGATAGCGGGTCGATGTGGAATGTTGTCGGGGCGGTTCGGTCAAATTGCCGTGCGGACGGGGGTCTTCGTGTGGCCAAAATAACTGCTTGTTAACGGGGAACCGAAATCTTGTCCGGGCTCATCCGAAATCAACGTTTCCTGGAAATAGCATGATGCGACCGTCACGCGGCCGCGTCGGATGTCCTTTTGCCGCTGTTTGGACGTGAAAACGCTTGAATTTTAAAATTCTGAGGCCATTACTGGAATCCTCACCGAATTTTGATGACTCTGCCCTTTCGTTTATTTTTTGTTTTCGACCAGTAGGTTCAATCCCTTTAAGAAACACAATACTACTCGTGAACCACTTTCAGGGCCGCGCGAACGCAGCCTCTGACGTAAAAATTTAGCTGTAGGCGAACCCCAACTCGGAGCTGCCTTACAGGTCAGCCCGGCCGAGAAGTGCAATGGCCAAGCCTCGCCATAGGGGTCCCGTCTTGATGATCACGGGAACCCCCCAGCCAGGTAAGTTTATGAAGGGGTGGAGCAGGGAAGGTATCCACACGGAGTGGGCCAGGTGGGGGGCGAGTGGGGTACTCGATTCGACTTTTCGTTAAGGTCCATATTAAATAAATAAGTTACCTTAATTCTAATCTAATTGAAAAAATTGGGCACTGGTCTGTCTGGTAAGGAAGCACGAGTACCGTATTTCAGGTACCCGGCTTGAATTTATCAGAGCAAAAAAAAAGAAACGCAAAGCAATGAGCGCGCCCGAATCTAATTGCTAAGCTGATTCGTCAAATTCGAGTAACCTTGCCGTGACCGAAAATCCAAATCCTTTGTACTTCCGGTTCTGTTCTATTTCGCGTGGGGGAAAAAACTGTGCGGGGGGGAATTTTTCGTTTTTTTTGATAACTCTTTTATATGATGCTATTTTGAATTGTAATTAAAACTCTTAGTATATTTTTCACGCTCTATCGAATGGCATTTAAGAAATTTTTGAAAGTTATCGAAAATGTCGAAAACTAGCTTTCGATTCCACGATCCCATGTGGAAACACCGAATAAACCTTGTTTTTGCTATAACTATTTTATAAAACAATATTTTTAGATGGCATTAAAACTCTGAGTATATTTTTTGATGCTCTATCGAATGACGGGTTCAAAATATCGAAAAACTGGCGAAAATGCCGAAAACTAACATTCCGGAACCAGTTTCAATAGTTTTTTTTTGTTTTTGCTATAACTTTTTTATATTACAATATTTTTAGCTAAAACAAAAACTCTTAGTATATTTTTTGATGCTCTATCGAATGGCGTTGCAAAAATCCCGAGAAAATAGCGAAAAGATGGAAGGTTCCGCGAAGCATATTTCCCCCCCGCACAGTTTTTTCCCCCACGCGAAATAGAACAGAACCGTCCTTCCAATTAATTCACATTTATTTTCACAGCATTCTTATTATCAACGGCAATGCAAACGAGAAACAAAACGAGATAAAAATGGACCAGCCGAAATGCGAATCACGGAAATGACTATGAGGCAAAAACAAAGTTGATGATAAAATCGAGGGGAGAAACAACGGTAGCCAAATAGAACTCGTTTCACACTGAAATTTTGGTGAGCAAATAAAGCTTGGGCATATGTGGAGCACGCGGCTTGGGGGAGCGGAAGGCAGTTTTGAGGAGCACTGGCAAAAACGGCAGTAACGAACACGAAGACAATCAATCATCATTGGACGACAGCTTTTGGCATGGTCTGGGAAATTAGGGTGAAAAGAGCGGCTTAGCATATCGGCGTGAAGTGGCAGACGAGGCCCTGGAGGAAGACGAACAGGATGACGATCAGGATGAGGACGAAGATGAGCACGATCACCTTTTTCTGCAAAATGAAAGTTATAAGGGGCCTGAAGATCAATTTCACCAGAAAGTGTCCGGAAAGGGGTTGCTTTCAAAATGATCATAATTTCGAAAAGCTCATACACAAAATACCCGGAAAACCCCCGTATCCTATGCAAAAAATATCGACATATTGACATTTCTAAATTCTGACATTTCGACATCATCATAGCAAACCGCAAAATGCTGTATACCTTGCGCGTCGAAGCCTGTAGCTTCTTGGCGTCTTCGACATTTGTCCTAGCTTTCAGTGCGTATTCCCGCGTACTCTCCACGTTGTCCGAGATTCGATTCAGCATCTCGCCCTAAAAAAAGGCATATTTGGATGGAAAAGACGCATACCTGGCTCTCGATCAGATTGGCCAGATCTATCCAGAGCTCTGTCAGTTCTTGGATGGACCTTTCGATTTCCAATAGGCCGTCGCGCCGCAGTTTCACTTCTTCATACAGCTCCGCCTTCTCACGCTGGGCGAGGATCAGCTGAAAAGGAAGTTTTTGAAAAGTACTGGGATTGCCACCGGTCTTTCCGCATCTTTCGCATTATGGGGAGGGAGCAAAAAGCTTTTCTTAATTCAAATTTTTCCAATTTAAATTGCGAAAGTGTCTCTAAACTACTTTTCACTATTTCTCAAAGAAAAAGCTATCGAAATTTTTGTTCAAATACAAAAAAAAAATATCGATTTCCGGCAAAAATCGCTGTTTTTACCAAGGTTTCGGCTTTTTCCACAATTTTTGCAAGTTTTCAGATAGTTTTTCTCGCCCAATCTGTAATTTCCAAACTTTCTATAGTAAAAACTGACCCCTTTCGTCTTCTCAGATAAATCACCATGTCGCATCAAATCGCTCATATCCTCCTCGCTGAATTGCATGCCTCGGACCTAATTCAAAATGATGTGAAAAATGAAAATGGCTTACTCTCAAGGAATCGGCAAACTTCTTCCGCAATTTTTCGGCGTAGGTGGCCTCTTGTGACTGGAACTGGCCAATCAAATGACCGAGTGTCCGCGTGCTATCCATTAACTAAAACCAAAATTTTTCTAGCAAAAGTAAGGACTCACCTGTGTCCTCAAGATTTTGATTTGCGCGGTGTGGTCGGGGTTCTCCTTCTCAAGACGATCCGCTTCTTTTTCGAGCTCTAAAAAGCATTTTTAGCATGGAAACCTGCACATACGTCGTAGGGCATTGCGGATGGCGCTCGATTGTATCTTGAACCGCTGCACGATTTCTTCATGTTCTTGCGCTTTTCCTAGGCAAAAATTAAAATCGCTATCCAGAAACAAACTTTGATCAGCAGCTGGGGCTTGTAATAACTCGTTTTCAATCTTCCGCATCCGGTGCAGCATTTCCGCCAGCTCGTCCATTTGTTTTCGTTGCGCGGTGACCGCCGCCAGAAACTAAAAAAAAGAATTGAATTCCATCTTCCTGCAAAACAACAAATCGAAGAAAAAAAAGGTTAAACCCACATTTTCGATGAAGACTTCATTGACTTCGATGAGCGGCTCTTTTTCCCTGTGCATCGAAGTCCCATGGTCGGCTTCCGTCGACGAGCTTGGCTGTTCGCCGGCGAGTTTCTGAAAAATAAAATTATAAACGGCCAATATCGATAATCCCGATAGAAATAAACCCTAATAAAGCCCAAGGAAAAAAAGCAAATCGATTACGTGGATGAAATTTCCGGCAAGAACTCTATTTCCCTGAAAATACGCGATTTTCCGGCCGTTGATCTCCTTTAAAAATGCTTTAATAACGGGGAATCTATGGAATACATACCGTTGAACGCATTTTCGTCCTCAACTATTATTTCCCCGAGTTACCAGAGAGTATTACTAGCGCAACAAGACCACAAAAACCACCAAAAACAAGCAAAAATCTTACGTTCCACGAATTTTCAGTAAAAATACTAGTTTACTCATAAGGAGGTGGCGGAATTTGAAAATATCTAATCGTAGAAAAGCCCAAAAACAGTGAATCCAACCTGTAGCTCGGAGAGGCGATCGCGGACCATTTTGCGCTGCCCGTCAACTTTTCTTCAGGAATCGGTTCCTAGAATAATGGCATTCCTGTCGAGGAATTATAGACCGGAGAGACGGAACAAGCTGATAGCGATAGGAGAAAGCTGGGGATAGAAATCGCCGGGTCCCCCGGCGGCTCCCCTGGGCGACAGCTGATGGATGCGGCTGTGTTGGAAACAAGCCCGCTGCGCCACCCCCACAACTCTAATAAGTGCACTTTTTGATCGAAAAATTTCTTTGAAAAGCTCGTTTTTATTATGGAAACGTGATGCTAATAAATTGGGCGTTGTCCAAAACCACTAGAGCATTCCATAACAGGCCTATGAACGAAAGATTTCATGTCGAAATTGTGAGCTTATCATCGTCACCACTATTTTTCCACGAGAAGCCGTTTTCATTATCGAAATGTGCCGCAAAGAAATTGGCCGTTTTCCAAAAGTACTAGAGTATTCCATAACAGAGCTATGAACGAAACATTTCATTTCGGAATTGTGATACTAGAATCATACTTACTGCACCGATATTTTTCTAGGAAAACCCGTTTTTTATTACGAAAACATGATGCCAAATAATTAAACGTTTAGCAAAACCGCTTTATCATTCCATGACAACCCTATACACAATATGTTTCGTGTCGAGATTGCGATCTCATCGTTATAATGATTACTTTTCGCTTATTTTTTAAACTAAATTGAGGTTCAATTACTAAAAGCCCTGAAAGTCTCTTATTTTTAATCAGTGTTACGCAAATGACCCTGCTTGCCTCAATTATCCTTTCGTTTAGCATGGAAACCGATGAAGTAGACAATGTTTTATCACAGCAGATGAGCTGCATGGTTACAAATGACAAAGAAGTTGGTGAATCAAACATAAAACTTCCCCCCACTAAAGCTTAGCTTAAACTTTGATCTGATTTCAGGCGCTGATTCGTGAATTCCAAAAGATTATCGGCGACTACTCGGTGACGCCAGAGACATGCGCCTTCTTCCTAGACATGTCGAATTGGTGAGCAAAAAAAGTACCGCTAAAAAAGGAAATCCAGGAATCTTCAATCAGCCCTCGGTGCCTACTACGATATTGGGATCTCAAATAACGCACATTTGCTAGCCGAAGTCAACGTCTCACAATTGGGTCTGAGGCTCGTCAAGGATGTAACAATTGGCGAGGTATGTTTTGATACACAAGAGCTGCCAAAGTCTAGACAGTTGTTGTACAATTCTTTCAAATATCCACTTATGCCTCAAGCATAAATTCTAGGGTGAAAGTGTGCCTCCAAATACGCGATTCGTCAAAACGTGGAGGGTGCGCAACACGGGTAATATGCATTGGCCAGAGGGATCTTCGATTTCATTTATGGAAGGTGGGTTTTACAAAGGCGCCTTGGAAAACAAGTGATTCACGTTTGATGAGTAACGCTCGTAGTTTTGGAAGACTTATACAAGGGGTGTGAATTTAGTGAGGCAATCTTATGTTCGTCTTCTTTTTATGTAGTAGAGAGGACGATTCATATTTACCTTGCATGAGGTTTTCAATATTCCGTTTGAAAAAAAGTAGAAAGTTTGGATAACGGTTTTATCAGCCATAATATTTCATCCGATCAAAAACGTACAAGGTACCCCATTAAAAACATCCCCCTCTAACTCAATGCAGAGGTATCGGATCGATAAGATATTTATACCATTTGAGCCCTGTAGATGGCGAGTTGGCAACAATCTTCATGATCATGTTTTGATTTAATAGCGTTCTTTACAAGCCATTTTGTAAAACTAACCGATTTTTCAGGGTGGCATACGGGCTAATTACCACAAGTTTCTGATACAAAACGGCTGAGTGCCATGGCATGAATCAGCCCATCCTTTCCCTCATCCTCGGGCTCGAACGATGGTGATTCGGGACGCGTATAGCTCAGCGGAAGAGCACCTGTACGGAAAACAGGAGGTCGCGTGTTCGACTCCCGTCGTGCGCAACCCCGTTTTACCATTGCTCGAAAGTTTATTTAAAAACATGGTTATGAAGGTGTTTGCAAACTCGTGGTCTCGAAGGGCTTTCGAATGGTCTAACTATCATTCCGAACCGATACTTCTGCGTCGGGTGAGAGGGGCGTTTTTTTTATTGGGACGCCCTGTAGAATCCGTAAAAATATACGTCATGACAAAACATTTTCAGGTCACCGTATGTGTCTGTTGGATTGCGTAGAGGTGCCACCCTTGGCACCAAATGGAGAGCTGGACGTGTCGGTGGACATGTTGTCGCCGAACGAACCCGGAATTTACCAGAGCCGTTGGCAGTTAAATAGCCCTCAGAAGATCCCGATTGGAGGTGGGCTAAAGAAGCGATTTCTCGAATTTTCCTTGAAATACGTACAAACCAAAAATAATTTTTAGAGTCGATCTGGTGCATAATTGCGGTCGACACCGGCGGAATATTGGATATTACGCAGCAGCTAGCCTCCGCTCCGTTGCACGATTCTAGCAGTCACTATTCGGGTTTTGGAGAAGCAGCGGTGGGTTGTAATGATTTAACGTTGAATTACTCGATACGATTGGTTCTGGTTCGTTAGCGGGGGGGGGGGGGGTGGGTGTACTGTCGTCGAACGAATAACCCTGAAAATGGGGTTGTTATGCTATTTTTTTTGCGATTTTCCAGATTTTCGACATTTTGTTAACGCTTTTTGATAGAACATAAAAAATATAGATATAGTTTTATATAGACCTCAAAATAATATAATCTAAGATAAGAGCAGCTATTGACAAAAATGCTGCCCCCCCGCTAATGAACCAAAACCATCCGGCTTAAGACTCACTTTCCAGCCTCACACCTACAACTCCGACATCAACCCCTTTGCCTCGGACCCCCGGAGAGGTTACCACGATTCGGACATGAACGATGACATGGATTCTGGGGTTGGTTTTAACGGCAAGAAAGTCCTGTGACAAATTTGAAGAAGAATACCGACTTTCAGAACGTCACCGAGGCGAACAGTCCTTTTGAATTGACGGCCCAGCTGCAACGGGTCTTTTCTTCACAACCGGTTTCGATTTTGAGGCGAGAAGGTACCGAAGGGCCTCCCTGTACTCCTTGCACTCCCCCGACACATCCGGATCTCCATAAGTGAGTTGGGAGCTGAACACCTTAATAGCTTTAAAAACTCCGTAAGATCCGGAAGTTGGAGGTTAAATTTTTGTCCACGTTAAAAATCAACTCCCTTTTACAGCTGGATGAATCCTGATCGTCAGTAGTCATCTACCTACCGGTATCTAGCCGTACCCTACCGGATCTAGCCACGGCCTTCAAGCGCGGTATCATCAACGTCATTTCTCAGCGAGCGTCCGGCAACCACCGATCTTTACATTTACCGTTGCTCATCCCCAGCTATTCTCCAGTACCCTGATGTGGGTAGAGGTTGTCCCAAAGAAAACATCCCTCTGTAGCTCCCGCAGCAGTATCGGATCGGAATGGTAGTTACACCCATTAGAACGCTCTGGAAACGGCGAGTTTGCAACAATTTTCAAACCGTGTTTTTATCTAGACACGCCATTTTACACCTTTTTTAAAAACCTGAAGGACGGCTTCTGCGTCTACAAAAGAGCGGAATGCCCCCGTGGGAAAACGCAAAGTTCTACAGACTGGCTTGTAAAATAGCGCATTTAAACAAAAGCATGGTTTTAAAGAATGTTGCAAACCCGCCGTTCCACTTCGAATAGTGTAACTACCGTTCCGTTCCGATACTTCTATGCCGTGTCAACGGGGTGTTTTTTGCTTTGGGACATCCTGTAATGTCGCCAAGTATTATCATTTTTAATGGCAACGGTCGATACCTACGATAGTTCTAAGCAATTTGAGAAAGCGGCAATATCCGCTTTCACCCGCCCCGCTGCGTCCCATAATTTCTTTCACATTGGCAGCTTTCGCGACTGCGCTTGGGAAAGCGCGAAGCCTCCCCAAGACCTCAGCCCCCCATATGCGAGATACTGGTTCGGACACCCATTCGTGATATTCACCCTATCAATCTACCATAACAACCCCGGAGTATATGTCTGTTTTCATGCCACTCCCCACCACTCATCGATAGTCACTTTTTGAACAAGTTCCGTGATGGAATAAAGCTCTTTTTGGGAATCACATCGGAAAAACCCGGATTCCTATGCATCGGGATTATCGTTAAACCCGGCTTAAACGGATATACATAGACACTACGGGCTGGGAAGCTTATTCACAATCCGACATCCTTGGTTATGTAACCCCTCTCAAAACACAGCCAATCCTCTCAAATTGAGTAGAGCGCCTTGCGGTTCAAGTCTTTGCCGAGGCACCCCTCATTCCTGGGCGCTTTCGGAAAAATGGAAATGGCATATTCCCGGGGGACCGATCCGTTCTGGCACTTCCGCATTGTGAGTGTCCAGGAACGCTGGAATCAGGAGTTCTTTGCTTCCAAAAAAAAATGCATTTTTTGGCATCCGAATAACTCACGGTTCTTTCGTATTATCGGGGGTGCGCGGGGGAACACAAATTTTTGTTTTTTTTTTTGCCACAAATTGTTTCCTAAAAAATCAACTAGAAAATTTATTATTATCCCCGATAAACCCCGCCCCCGATAATGCAAAAGTACCGACTTATCAAATTGACAAGTAGAAAACCGAGGTTCAAAGTAGTAGCAGTAAAGGACTTACAAAGGTTGCAAAACGGACCAATCAAACGTTACGAGTTTCAGTCTGAATCCCAGAAAATGTAGCTACCTTGCAAACCTATATTCAACCGGCCCTTGAGCTTTCGACCTTTCCTGTTCTTCACTCCCTGATCTCTAGCGTCGCCAGGTGCCGGCGTCGTGTTTTTCTTGCGGTGCGGGGGGATTCCTGGAAGGGGGGCGCTGATGGCCGGAAGCGCCTTTGTTCTCGCTCCACGCTCGGGGCCCGGAGCCTATTTTTGTCCTCACCCTAGTCTCTAACCCCTCCCGCCCTTCCCCGCTCCCTCCCCACCACCCGGCTGGCCCGTTGCCAGCAGACGACCGCAACGCGCGTCGCGCCGCGCCGCCAATCGATGACTCGCCAGTCTGACCATAGTTCCTGGGTCCTCGCCGCGTGCCCCCGCATGCCCGAACGACGTCCAATTAGGCGCGTCTGAATCGGGCGGGTGGTGTCTTCGACCTGCCTTTTATAGCATTCCAGCTGTCCACTATAATTGGGCGCTTTTTGACATGTATTTTGCGCCATCCCCGTGGTTCTGCGGCACGTGCCTAAGGGCCAGACCGCTGTTTTTGGAATTTGGCCAGATGTCGAAATCTTGCGGGTTTTATGGAAATTGATGTCATTGTGATATTTTCTACTCTTTGGTATATTACTTGTCATTTATGACGTAAAGTAGAACCGGTATACGGACTTTGACTTTTGATCTTTAGACTGATCGAAAAATCGAAAGATCGTTCGATCTTTCGACGCAAATCAGTTTAGAATCGTCCAAGGTTGCGAGACACTCCGCTTCCGTGACTTGGCTTTCAGCTTAGGCTTCGCTTGGCTTAGCTTAGCTGAACCTAGGCCTAGCATTTTGGCCTAAACTTAAACTTGGCTTAATGTACTCTACGGGCTCGAAAGGCGTCAGTTGAGAGTTGACTTGCTATACGATTAACTTAGCTTAAGCCTAGGTTAGACTTGGTTGTTAACGAAGCTAAGATCGGGCTAAAGCTATCCTATGGGTAAGCTTAGAAGTCAAAAACGTAGTTTGGAGCGTCTAGGAACTTTGGACCAGAGCCCCCCCCCTTGCCCGTTGCGCAATAGCACCGAAACATCATTATTTTTCAGAAAAACATAAAATTGTGTCAAATCTACGGAAAATTCCAGCTACTCTTTTTTTCACACACTTTGCGCTCATGCCAGATCCGGCGTATGTTTTTACGTAACGGAACTAACGACGCGAAATCGGGTTGTTTACGTGACTGCCCCTTTTCTATACTACTATCTTGGCCCTACTGTAGCTTTCACAACCTTTTATTTTCAGCTCCGTTCGGCTCAAATGAAGGTGGGAAACCAAAGCGTGCCGGGCGCCCATGGCCCGATTTTGATACCATCCTGACGCTTGTTTTGTTTCTGGTGAGTATTTCATCAGTGACGGAAGCAACCTAAAATTTTCAGTTTGACTTCATGACTACTTTTCATAACCTTCCCTGCTCCCCCGAAAATCCCGAATAGCCGATGATGTAGCCGGTGAGTCTTTGTTTGAGCGAGAGAAAGAGAGAGAGAAGGTGAGAGAGAGAAAGAGAGAGAGAATCCTAGAAATCGCAGCCATAAACCATCAAATCCTTCAGATTCTCTACCACCAACCCTCCGATTCTTCCGCCCAGCTTCTTTCGCTAGAGCCGTTGCTAGATTCGACGAGCGGCTTGGGGATGTTCTCCCGACTCCCCACTGTCGTCTCTTCCATCCGATGCTGTCATTTCCAACTTCTACAACTTCCGCCCTCCGAACTCCCCCTCCATCACCAACCGGGTGCTTTCTCTGCACCCCCATCCTCAACAGACATTGGTTCCGATTCCGGTAAAACAGTTAACGTCTACGGTTCCCCCCACAATCCCTCTATAAACCAGATTTCTATTCGCCCTCCTTGAAGTTCGGGTGGTTTGGGGAGGTCAAGTAGAGCCAGGTATCAGTAATTTCAAGAACTGTTTTTGGCTAGATATTTAAGCGGTCTAGGCTGTGCTCACCCTCCCCGAACCATCCCAAAGCTTTCGCTCCCGCCTCCCCCCGAACATCTCTCGTCATTTGGTGTACCCCGTACCCCGCCTAATTCTAGTTCCAGCCCTAATTACACCCACGCATCCTAGTCGAACATCTCGCGCGTAGACACACAGGTTCCGTAAGCTCCTCAAGCAGTGTCTACCTGATTCCCAGTCGAGAATATACAATTTTCATACTTCTATTCACCTCCTCCCCCGATATGTGTCGCCGATATCGCCAAAATGGAGGGTTGAAGGTGGTTTTTCAACGCTAAAAACTAAAAAATCTTCCCACCTTCAACAATCCGTGGGCCGCCCAATACGAGTCCAGCTGCAGCCGTCCCCAAAGTTCGCCAAAAAATTACTATCTTTTTTGATGGGGTGAGTGGTAAAACCGTGCTTGGCTTAGGCTAGGCTTAGGCTTAGGCTTAGGCGTAGGCTTAGGCTTAGGCTTAGGCTTAGGCTTACAGTACGAATCATATGGAAGAGGCTAAAAATCCACTCACCTCGTCTGTGTCTACGACTTCTAAAGTCTTCAACCACCACCACGGGGCCGTCACCATACCTCCCCGCCCCAAAATCTCATCCTCTTCGTCGCACCGGTATCCCCCGCCACGGTGCTAGTTGGGCCCGGGACTCGGAAACTGTAGCAAGGTACGCGGTATGGTCGCCTTTTGGTTGCCGTGAATTTTGACAGGGCCAAAAACCATCTAACGTGGAAACGTTTTTCTTCACAATTGAGTTTCCGTACGGAAGCAACCCTATCTTGTGCAGAATTTTGCGCTGATTTCGAAGCCTGATTTTAAAATCGGCGAAACGGCCAGATTCAAAAAGTTACGAAGCTTGTCAATACGAAAAATGCAAAAATCTGCGGAAATTGGGCAATTTTGGGCCTTTTCGCACTAAACCTTTCATAACTTGTTGTTTCTGAACCTTTTACCGCTATGTAAGACAGTGCAATCAGCGAAAAAAATTATGCACAAGGTAGGCCTTTCCTCGATTGTGCTCGAAAAGTCTCCTTGCAAGCCCAACCTGTCTTCAAAATTCTCCCCGATCCAAAAACGGCCAAAAAATTCTTCAACGCCCGTTCCGAGTCCCATCCCACCGGGAAGACAAAATGCTCTCAAAAATATAAGGGTCCGCGCCAAAAACCATATGCTAGACGCCCTAGCAGTTCTAGTCCCCTAGGAAACAATGAGGTCCACTGTCATTTGGTGTCCCTTGGAATCACTGGCATATGACAGTGTTCTTCCGAGGGCCCACTGACAAGACCCGACCGTCTCTCACAACTACGGGACCACCCATCTGCTTTCCAACAAACACACATGTATCCCTACGTCCCCCCACTTTTTATAAAGAAGGTTTAATTTTTTTGGGAATTTTCTAAGGATTCGCACCTTGAAAATCCCTCCTCCCCCTTCCCTGCTTGGCGACAGTGGCAGGACTTGGCTGCAGTTCGGATCGCTCTCCTCGGGTAATGGAAACTCTTCTGGGCTGGCCTCCATTTGCTTTTTCGTTGTTATTTTTGTTCTTTGCGGCGATATCGGTTGAATAAACAGTTTAAAAAAAAGTTACTGCAAACTACAAACAAACAAAACTACAAAAATACCAGCAAAGATTTGCACTCCTGCGATACATACGAAACCTCTGGCGACACTCCCATGTTTAAAATTAACAAGCATAATTTTCAGGAACTTTCCTGAAAAACGCCTCGAAAAGACACCCATTTGGGAACGCTGGGATCAGACTAGCTAGACTGCCTGTGCGCTCTCTGCATGCTCCCTGCTCGCGGCCCTACTAGTCCCCCACCTGGACGTCTCTGTCCACACAACTACTCAACCTTCCATCCGTTCCTTACCTCTGGTTCGTGTGCATTTGACCGAGAAAATCTTTCGCCTTTTACTAAAGATTTCCGTGCACACGAACAATTATGAGTATACTCTAATTTTTGGAGCCCCCTCGAGAGAGCGGGGCAAAAATCACTTAAAAGTCCGTCAGTAGGTGTCTTATTTGCACCATATTGGCGCTTCACAATACAACTACGAAATTTCATAAATTACGGCTTTAAAGGGCTAGTTCAGCCAATAAAGTAAGAGAATTTCCGCGGCCAGGAGTCGAACCCTCCCTGCGTTTTTGCGTCTGCGCCTGGCTCCACGAGACCACGAGACCTCCACGTGTGTCTCGAACAAATTTTGGAACGCATTTCCTTCGGGCGGTGCCACAAGCGCGTGCAATAAACGAATTTCGAGGTGAACGCCAAAAACGTGAAACGTGTTTGCTTCAGATTTATTCAGCTCCGGAAATCGTATTAATTTATTTCATAAAAGCAAGTTCACACTACATCGAAACAAAATTCATCAACTCTTTGTCGTCCTCGTCTGATTTGGCGAGTGTTAGCCGGTAGTGCATAAGGTCATGCATCAACACATTGTCGATGCGATCAGAGAACCGCACGATCAGAACGTCGCCATGTCGGCGGCGGATGCGGTAATGGGTATAGTCACGACCGGCCGCTTCAAGCATTGGGTACGCTGCGAAAAAGTCCGGCGCGGCAATCCCTCTGCCCGTACGAGGAAATGCCAGCATCAGTGAGTGGATTTGACGATCACCCCTGAGCCATTCATCGATCACCTCCCTGGCGTAGGCCTCAAAAGGCATCCAGTCGTTTGTTAGAAGGCCCAGCCAAAGCTTAGGTACCCTTAGCTGGGTGTATTCTGATATCGGTGCCGTAAGCGATATTTGTAGCGATTCAACCCATTCGCTCAACCAGCCCATCAATTCCGGTTCGGCCGGGAAGCCGTCAGCGTTTAGCTCTTTATATTTCCCAGGGGGCTTGTGACGCTTCAGGATGGACAGAACGTCGGGGTGGTCGAAGTGCAACGTAACATATTGGCCACGGATATGGATATCGTCGGGAAGGACACCATCAAGATTAAGTTCGTAGACGGTAGAGTTATAGAAGACCTGGGCAAAAATCTCCATATCCCGCAATCCTGATATGCATATCCATTGATAATCGTAGTCGTGCCAAAGGATCTGGTGGCCACGTTCCAATCGGACCAGCACGTACGAATATTTGTCTCGGCAAGTTTTGGCGAGTTGCAGCATCACCTTGCTCGTAATGGCCGTCTTGAAGAGGTCTTTCATCTCCATGGATCGGAGGATGTTGTGCTGTACCGCGGTTGGGAAGGCGTAGAAGTTCATGACTCTCTGAAAGTTCGACGTTATTTTTAAGGGGCTGGGCGCCAAGCAACAAATAGAAAACGTTTGAATAAAAACGAAGGAGAGAGAGAGACAGAGAGATAGAGAGCTAAATTTAACAAAAGCCAATGAAAATTGGCAATGAGGTTTGAAGCCAAGCCAGATGCATCGTGCTGGAAATTACGCGCCGAAAAAACCGCGACGCTCCGATGACCTCTATGCCCCGAGGATATTTTGTAGTAATCGTTAACCACTGAACATTTACATACTCATCCGCACTATAGCAATAAGATGTGGTAATCAACTTATATCCATCTGCACATCTCGGTTCTCGAAAACCTAAGGTTTAATGGATCTTCTGAAATTGCAGCTTCTCCGCAATTTTCTAGCGAGTAACTTTGACGAAAAAGCACAGGCTTAACAGCCTAGTTTTGTGCGTTTTAAGGATCTGAAACAGCTATCTGAATTTTGGGTATGACCGGTCCTCTTCGAGTTTTCAAGATTCCAGAGAGTGCTTTGTGAGCGTTCCCTGCTCTCCGCCCCTGGCTAGCCCACCACCTGGGCGTCTCTGTTACCATAACTGCCCGTCCCTCCCTCCGTTCCTCACCTCTGGTTCGTGTGCATTTGACCGAGAAAATCTTTCGCCTTTTACTAAAGATTTCCGTGCACACGAACAATTATGAGTATACTCTAATTTTTGGAGCCCCCTCGAGAGAGCGGGGCAAAATTTGGTCGCGTAAACAGTTGCTGATCATTATGGCAATCTTTATTCAAAGTTTTGTCCGTAACTAGCAGAGATCACAGCAATAAGTTTAAATTACGATCCGCAACCATGGTAATTTAGACAATGGGATCAAGCAATCACAACCTCCAAAAATGGCACAACCACACGAAACTCGTTGCACTACAGTACCCGATAGGCCTATTGGTGGTGGTCCACAATCATGGGGGCCATCAACATTGAGCAGTAATAATCAAAGGCGGAGTTTTTTGGCTATGGTGTTCGAGAGGAGGGGTCGACGACTCGGACGAGGCGTGCCGCTTCATCCTCTTTCGTCGAGTTCATGGATGGTCGTTTAGCGTAGGCCACAGCTGGGTTACCGGTTCGAAGCATGCTTAGGATCTAGAATTTGTGGGTTAAGCACGTTTTGGAGCATAGGCCTAAGTTAGGCTTAGGCTTAGGCTTGGGCTTGGGCTTAGACTTTGGCTTAGGCTTATGCAGGTCTAGCTCAAGCTTGGGCTTAGCCTTAGGCTAGACTTGGGCTTAGGCCTAGGCTTAGCTTTCTTGAGAGCCCTTCGAAGTTAAGATACGTACATTTTTCCTAAACGCATCCGACAAAAATACATAGAGGAACGGGTTTATCGCCGAGTTGAGGTACTGAAGTGCAAAGGCTGCATACGAGACGGCAAGACGCAGGTTTTGATTGCTAAAATTTATATATTTTAAGGCATGAAGTGTTTTCTCTACTTTGTCCACTCGAGCATCATCTCCATCGACCAGGTATGGGCCCAGAATGGCAAAAAACATAGGGTATAGGAAATTACGATAGCGAGTCCGAGGATTGTCACCTGGAAAGCAGAGTAAAGCATGTTAATTAAACAATACACAATGACTTCAATCTACAACTAGTAAACTACAAAAATGTCTTAATTTGTTAAAAACGCTACCTTCGTCGTCGTTCGCTTTATATTCTCCTTCCTGGACCAAAGGTTCCTTCTCCTTGCCCAGAGTTTTGCAATAATATTAGCATAGAAGTACCAAACGGCTAAAAGTATTCTCAGTTTTAAGACGCCAAAACAGCAACTTACCAATCAATGGCAGCATATAACTTAAGGCAAAGGTATAGGTAGTAAAGAATCTTCTGGAGTACATCGTTTGTCGCTGCATCTCCATGATATTTTCGTACATTTCTCTATAAAAAGTGGTGGTCGATTGCCTCTAGAATTTGACTTACGGATTGTCATCTTCTGTGGCCGGGGCGCTGAGTTTTGTGAAGATGCTTTCGTCTCCCCAGAAAAGCATACAGGTACTTCGCTGATCCGGTCCTGGAAATATGATGAATATCAGTTATCATCCCGATAGTCAACGTGTCGGCCGCTAAAATGCCGACAGCCAAAATGCAGACAGACAAAAATGCCGACACCCAAATCCCGACAGTGAGAAGCGCGATAACCAAAATCCCGGCACGAATCCCGCAAAAAATACTAATGCAGGATTCGGTTCCCAGGATTATGGCTAACATGATTTTAGTTGTCGGAAATTTATGACATCGGGATTCCGGTTTTCGGGATTTTGAATATCGTTATTTTCGAATTTTCCAAATGGGACACCGACCTGTGATAACCTTTGCAAACAGCAAAAGCGGCGTCATCTCCAGGACTACCGTAAGCCAGGCGAGCCCGGATGCGAGCAGTGCCATCCTGCTTGTTCTCCATTCTACAAAAGGGTTATTAGACGTACTAAAACTTTAGCTACCTGAAGTCACAGGTCTGCACACCGCCATAAATCTGTCGAGCGAGAGAACGGCAATAAACGCAGGGGAGGCAAATTGTGAAATCTATAAGAAAACAAGGTTGAGTTGTTACTTAAAATAACAAATTTTAGGCCTAGAACTCACCCCATTTCCTATGATGTACATCTTGCACACCGCCGTCCCGAACGTCCACGACTGCTGCAGGGACTGCACGATCAAAATCGGGGTCCCGGCAAGAAAAAGCAAGTCCGCCAGGGCCAAGTTGAAAATGTAGACGTTGGATATTGTGTGCATGTCCCTAAAAGAAATTATATATAATTTTTGTACCTTTTTGTAAATTCATTAAAATTATGGTTGTAAATTTTTCGTACCTGAAATAAAGGATGGCGAAGAGGACAAAAAGATTTCCCGGGATTCCAATGGCCATCGCTATGCCCCAGGCTATGTTGGCGGTGAGCTTAATCTAAAATTTTCATAAATTTTTGGTTTCATTTTTTATATTCTTAAGACGAGGCCTAAGCCTAAGTCCAAGCATTTATATTATCTGCTTAAAACTTACAAGACTCCTTGTCGCCTCATCCTCCTCTGCATCAAATATTGGCAATTCAATAGGGCCCGTGATATTCATCTGCAAAATAGGTTCCAACTCCTTGAATCCTGAGTTTCAAAACCAACAAATTATCAAGAGAAAAATCGAGAAAACCACTGGGAATCGCTCCGTTTTAGGAGCCGCAGCGGAGGTGCACGGAATTAATGATTAAGCGGAAAGGTGGGCTGCGGGAATTTTAAGAGAATGTGCGCGTGACCCCCGGGTGGGGGAATTCGTGTGGGACCAAAATTTAAAGATATCTTGATGAGGAAAAGTGTTCGTATATGGAGACGCACATAGCGAGTGGAAGAAGACCAGGAAGTGTCAGATTTCAGAGGGAGTGGGAAAACATCGGCATCAGGAATATGATTTCATCTTGAAAACCAGGAAAGCTATTCGGATTAGGCGTATGCGTGGGCTTAGGCGCTTAGGCTTCAAAAATTAGCTTTACGGCAGTTTTTCGGTTACCGAATTTTAGCCAGCGACTTGAACAATTTGCGTGGGACGCAAAAACACTCAAAAGAAAGTGCCGCAAATTGCTAATCCGGGCTTTAGAAAAGCCCGGAAGTACAGCATTTCTGAGAAAGGTACTAATGCTAAAAACAGTGACGTATTTTGGAACACACGAAAAATTAGAGGGTCTTGAAAGAGAAATTGCAGTCCAAAGCTTGAGTTTGGTGTAATCAAGGATAAAACCAATCTATCAAGTTTTATGTCATCTAATTCTTTGATATAAGGCAAAAAGGGCCAGCCGTTCGATTTCGAATCTTTTTTTGACGCGCCCTAATCCTTCAGTCCAATGTCTAAGCCGATTTCCGGGCGCTTATTAGGCCCGAAAGACGAACGAGCCACACGAATCGTTTCTAAGGACAAGCGGTTCTAATCGTTTCAAAAGTGTAGGGGCTTTCCCTCATTTTGAGTAGAGAGACCACCCGGCCAAGGTGTCCGACCACCGACAAACTGTGTCAACACATCGTCGGGGGAGGACCCAGGCCGGGGAGGAGAAACACGCTTCTCACGTGCGGTTGGTCCTGCTGCCGAGAGCAGACACACAAGATGTTGGCACTTCAAAAATGAGCACAAATTTATTTGGGGGGTTTTGGGGGATGAGCAGCACGAAGGGGTGTCAGAATTTTTGATGTTGTTGGTTTGAGGTGGGGTATTCATATCTTTAGAGGTATTAATAGGCTTAGATTAGGCTTAGGCTTGTGTGAGGCTTAGGCTTCGGCTCAGGTGAGGCTTAGGCTTAAGCTCAAGCGATGCATAGGTTTAGGCTTCCGCATCTGGCTTTTTCCTGGTCAACTTCAGACATCAAAAAGAGCTGGCTACCTACCGTAACCTGACGCACGAATGTTCGTCCATATCTTTAAGAACCAGCGCTAAAGCCCCGGAAGCTAAATTTGGCTACCCCGGAATCTTTGACAGAGCACTTGCGCTTCCTAACTCTTGGTAGCTTGAAAAGCCTTTCTCAAAAACACTAAAGCCCAGCAGCAAAAAACCTGCCACTCACACTTGGCTGCGCTGTCCGAGAAAACACGGATGTGCCCTTTCGATTGAAAAGTCGGGGCAGGAAATGATTAAGTCGGCGGCGCGCCAAGAGCAACAACACAGCACCGCAAAGTTTCTGTGGATTTTATTTGGCTATTTTTACCGCCTAGACGGTACGAAAAGATACAGATTTTTTGAGGTATCCGGTGGGAGTTTAAAAGGCATATTTTTACTAGAAATACAATTTTGGAATTTTCGAAGGGTTTATTTTCCTTTCTAATTTCTAAACGGTACGAAGAAACCAGAAAGGCACTCTTAAGGGTACCTGGAAGTAGTTTAAAATTTTAGAATGAGTATATTTTTCTTTCTATATCCCTAAACTTGCAAATTTCACTTTCTAGATCATAAAAAGCGTCAAAAAGTCGTTTTCTGCAGTATATGAAACCTTTTTTAGGGTTAAATACCCCACCAAAACCGCATTTTTTCACAAAATCCATCAAAAAGTCCATCAAAGAACTATCAGCCCTCGGTCCGTAGATTCCATTACGCCCACCAAAATGCCCGGAGACCGGAATTATTTTAACCAGATGCAAAACTCCCTCCGCATTGGCGCCCAAAGTAAATTAGGAGCCGATGAAGGGGGGAAATTCCGAACGGCACAAAAACATCTTTAGCCAGGGGCTGAAAACGAATTCTTGCTACTTTGGGGTTTTTTAAAAAGATGCCAGCGGTTGATCATGTCCATAAAGGAGCACCAAAAATGTTGTGAACCTTTTTGCGCTGAATTTCCTCCTCGAAATTCTGATCAAACACCGATGGCCGCTAAATTAGTAATAATGGGACCGGGGGGTGCGTCTCGGAAATGGATACCCCGGCTTCGAATTTTCGTGTGTCTGCACAAATGTGACGCGAATTTGGGAGACGGCAGAATGAGTTGTCTAGCCGAAAGTTGATCTCTTGGTACCCCAAATTTCGGAGTAGAAGCCGGAAACGGTCACCTGGGGCTGCATACCACCACATAGACGCGGCTGACACGGGATGGGCAGATTTACGAACGGGTTCGTTGTGAGGTTTCCGTGTTTGAAAACGTGGTATTGTTAGCGGGGTTTTGAAAAAGGCGCGAAGTGTTGGCAGGTATACAAAATGAGGAAATAAAAACCCCAGGAAGAGCCGCCGTGTCAAAATAGAAATATTTTGAAACTCTGTTTACAAAGTTGGACAAAAATTCGCTTACCGAGGCTTAGGCTTAGGCTTAGAACAAAATCTTTGCTGCAAAGGAAATCGGTTCCGGCAAACGAAAAGCTGCCATCCCGGTGCTAAAGTTTTGTTTTTCGACTCCACCCTCGGAATCCAAGTCGATTCGTCTAATACCCTCATGTCACGAGCACGAAGCATCAAGGGAATTTTTGAAAAAATCCAGAGAGGGAAGTTATCACTCATGTGTTGAGTGCATTAGATTGCCGTAAAAGTGCAAACAATCTGGCTACACTGTATTACTCATGACGTGTTTCCTCCGTTACAAGCAAAAAATCTGAACTATTAGGTCAGCCCAGACGAGTGGCAAGGGCACAAAACATGTCTCGGAAATGTGGTTAGGGTCAAAAATGGGCCAAACAGCGACCAGTTGCGGGGGTCCAATTTTGGGGCCCTAGTGTTGGTGGTGCCCATATTTGTTGAGGTCTTCAGAGGGCGGCAACAAGAAGAAATTGAGAGGAATTTGTGGGTTTTGGCCTGGCGGTGGAAGAGGAGAAGGAACCCCCTTGAGTCCGGCGGAGCAGAAGGGCAAATTGCCGGGTCAACCCCCTACCCGGGTGGGTAGCATGGGCTCGCCGATCACGCTAGGATGGTTATTTCCGGATTAATGGTGGTGATCTTTGGGAAAGTGGTGATCTTTGGGAAAGTGGTGAACTTTGTGACGGAAGGGCCGGTATAAAAGGGACTTACTTTGGCCGAGGATGCGGGTTAGGCTTGGGTTTAGGCTTAGGCTTAGGTTTAGGCTTAGCTTAGGCGCAGGAAGGCTTATGCTTATATTTAGGGCTAGGCTTGGGCTTAGGCTTGGATTGGGCTTATTTTTTGCTTACTTAGCCTAAGCCTATTAACAGCATCCTAACATCAGAAACACAAACCAGAACTATTATAACAGTCACAACCCATAATTAGATAGGTCCCGTCATACGCCCCATTCGTTTTACCCAAAATTCCGATTTTGCAAAGCTACATCGAATTCCCAGGGCTCGTATGTACTTACCAGCAAAGAAAATAAATTTTGGGCCTCAGAAGTGGCTATAACTATCGTTTTATGTTTCTTTAAGTAAAATCGGCCCCAAAAAACCGCCGCAAACTATTTGTCCCAAGCTCTGTCCGCACGTAAACAGTAATTAGTCGGAAATGAGGCACTTCGGAAGCAGCTCGGGGGCTAAATGTTAGTATACAAATGGTGTTTGGACGTGGGGCTTCAACCAATTTCCGGTAAACCGCACGCGCTCGTCTTTTCGGGGAGGGCAGACGGGGATGACTCGCGAAGAAATACTCGAAAACGAACAGCAGCTCCCCGGGGGATTAGGTAAACATGCGGAAACAGATACGCACAAATCAGAGCTCGTCACAGTTTTTTGGAATCTTTTCAAAAAAAGCAACGGGTGGCTTTTCGGATTTGGGTAATAAATTCCAGGCCACAAGGTGAAAAAAAGAAGTCACGGCTTGCTTGAACAATCAATCGATCAATTTTCTAGCTAAAATCTTGCTACATTTATACCAACCAGGTTTTTAAAGGTCTTAAAAATACTAGAACTTTCCAAACTTTAGTAAATTCTTGAAAGAGGCGCGTAGGAATGAGTTTATATTTTTATTTATATGGCATTTTTCAGAACTAAAAATTTTTCAATTAACTTTTCTTGTTTCAATCTTTTAAAAACATTTTATAAAATAAATTAAATATAAAGAAAAAACTGAAAATCACTACCCTAGAATAATTTTTCAACCGACAATTTAATGAAATACATAATCACGAGCACTATTCATATTTTGAAAAAAGATTCAGTCGATTTAAAACAGTCTCGGTGACAAATTTGATGATCTAAACACACCATAGTTTCAAACACTACTAAAGCTATGCGAGACCAGGGTCATTCATTAAAGCCTGAGCAGCTCCTAGAAATTCTAAATATCCAACCAAACCCCTAAATAGCCAAAGAAACCGAGACGTCCAAACGTCATGGGAAATTCCCCAAAAGTTCCCAAAGTTCGGGTCTAAGTTTTCGCCTCTAAAAGTCTTTAGAAGCCATCTTGGCGGTCGGCCCCCTCAAATGTAACTTCCACCACCGACCGGGGGTTGTGTGGGCCGGACCCCGCTTCGCCTCGGACGGGAAATGAAATCGGAGCCTATACTGCGCGCACTCTGTAAGTCCAGCGCCATTCTGTGTGCTTAGGATTTTTCCGCTGGCTAGATAGGATGAAACAAGCACACCGGGGACCGAGTATCCGGAAGGTTATCTGAGATACAGCGCTGGAATATGTAACTAGAATGGAGCATCTTGAGAGGTTAGCGATAT